ATGAGAGAACTTATATTACTTTAAGGAATAGAAAGAAAAGAAACTGTGCAAGATCTAACTAAAAACTCTAAACAACCCTTCTCAACTTCTCTAGTATTGTATCTCACCTCTATTTAAAATTATACACAAACTCTCTTGGTTGATAGAAGTGGAGGAAAGACCCTTTATTCATAAAGACCTCACTGAGTCTGAACAAGACCTCCATTTTGAACAATGGTGACTCATTCATTAATTCAAGTGGCTAAGATGGTGATGGTTACTCATAGAGTATATGGGCTCGGATCCATAGCCCACATACTTTTGTACACTCAGACGGCCCAAACCTTCACCAGCACCAAAGGGCCTAGCGAGAGGACCCGGTCCAGAATGCAGAGACGGACTTTCTGTCTGTACTATCACCTCGGAGGAATACACCTCGGCACAAAACCACCAGGATGAGGGCTTGTTCATTAAGACCGAGGTGCACCCCTGCACGTTGGACCCATTGCCAGCAGAGATCACTTTTATATCCTAAGCGGGTCAAGACACGTGTAAACAGCCCATTAGGTGTCCATTATTTTTTAATCGGGCCTCTCAAGCTCAAGGCTTGGGAGCCCAACCCATATTCCCTATGTAAATACACCAATTGGGGGTAGTTGTAGGGGTTGAGAACTCATTTATTGCAAGTTCTTTCTCTCTCTATATTTTAGCTCTCCCTTCTCTCTAGCTCTTCTGCTTAATCGGGAAGCTATCAGTTACTTTGAGCTAACAATGTGGGCGGCTGATTGTGAGGTTACTGTTAGTTGAGAGGAAGAGAATTCTAAATTGAATTCTTCAATTTGCATGTATTAAAAGTATGGAATTCTAAATTGAGAGGAAGAGTATTGAATCCTTCACATATTGAATTCTAGGTATTAAAAGTAATGAAGTAAAAATGAAATACTCATAGGAGGGGAGCTCAGTCATTTTTACTTTGTTTTTGTCTGCTAATTGGTCACTTATTTGTGCTCAAAGTGCATTTAGTTGATAAACATTTTAGAAGGAAAAAGTAGCCTTTCAAGGCTATTTGTACATCATTCCAGCTCTTGTTTCTGGACATTTTGCATGACTTGTAATGGGCACTTATGTGAAGTTATGGAATATTTCATCAGGCTGATGCCATAATATCAAGACTCCCCATTAGTAAATACAAGAAGGAAGATGCAGCTCCGACACTTTTGATTACATGTGACCAAGTATGTACACAACATTTTAAATGATTTGCTTATGAATGGCTTAATAAGTGAGTCATATGTTCTTATTAGAATGTTCTTTCTTTTCCACCATCGTAATAAAGAAATATATAGTTTATATGTGACTCTTACTTGCAAGCTCCTGCAATCCTAGAAGTAGCTTGTAGTTTGGGGGCACGTTTAGTTATTGCTTAAGTTTATGCAAATGTGGAATTGCTAAAATAACTGAAGTAGAATTGTTCTGTAAATGGATAGTTTTTGTTGAAATGAATGAAGTGAGTCCAATGACCTATTAAGTGTGTAATTATTTAATAGGGTATGTAATATATTAATCTTAATAGATGGATCAGAATAGGATGAAAGAGTAGCACACGGGCAAACATGTTGTTTTATTTATATACTTCGTATTATATATGCCAAAGCAGCCAATGAAGTACACCATATTCTGCTGAAAATCATTATCAGAAAACTGCCGAAGGGGTGCATTTGGTGTTTTCTCTTAGGACTCATCAGCCAAAAATATGCCTACTACCAACCTCTCTCTTAGGCACGTTTGGAGCTTGGAAATTCCTGGGAAAAGTAGGAAGGAAAGCATAGAAGAAGTTTGGAAGGAAAGAAAATGTTCAGAAAAATAACACATTGTTTAAAGTCAATAGCTTTATGTCTGTTTATTATTTGTTCAAACCCATTTTTGTAACTTATTTTTATTAAATGAACAATATGACATCTAAACATATCTAGAAAACAGAAATATTATTCAGTTCATATCTTGTTTTCCTTTGTATTTTTCGAAGTAAAACCAAATATAAGAAAATAATTATCCTTAACATTTTATTTCTTTCCCTAGCATTTTCTGGGATCCAAACATAGCCTTAGGGTTACAACTTATTCAAGGAAGTAGATTTGTAACTTGACCTTATATTGCATGCATTTGTTGCTGTAAGGCACAATGGTTGGGATTCATATCTTTTGTTTGGAATATGTGATAAACTGATAATTTTTCTTAGCTCTAACTGCTAAATTGAATTTATATTGGAGGTGGTGGTCTATGAGGGTATGATCAGGGAGAAACCGACCAGCAAACAAGAAGCCCGGCACTTCATTGAAGGTATGCCAATGGTCTACAAATTGTGATCTTTCTGTTATCAAATACTTACCTTTGTAATTTCAGATTACTCAAATGGAAGGGCAGCAACTGTAAGTTCTGTTCTGGTTACAAACTTGAAAACAGGGGTTAAAAGCGGAAAGTGGGATAAAGTAGAGGTATTCACAGTTCAGAATTATTACTTGTTTACCATGTTTATTCATAGGCTATATGTTGAACTCTATGTTCTTTTAAAGCCTTTAGTAGCACTTCACATTCATAATTTAGTAGTAACCACAATGTTTCTAAATGTCAGATTTATTTCCATGAAATACCAGAAGATGTCATGGATAAGCTGGTAATGGATCTTGTTTATTTTTTATTTTTCTCTCTTTTCTATATAATCTATTACTTGAGATATTGTAACTGATTGTCTAAGATGTAATAAATTTATTATAAATAAAAATTGAGGATGATTTATTTTGATGTTAGAACTTCATTCCTGTTTTTCCCTTTGTGATAAGATTGAGGAAGGGGTACTGCTTTATGTAGCCGGTGGCCTGCTGATTGAACATCCCTTACTTCAGCCTTATGTTCATCAAGTGGTAATTGCAAAACCTCAACCTTTCTTGTAGGCATTGTTAAAGTAATGTTTCTTCTTTTCTCTTTTATATTTGTGGCACAAATGGAAGTACATACTAGTGTACTACTATACTAGTCCATTAAAATTGAAAAGCTATTTAGGTCAGTTTTGAACCAGAGAGGCATAACAGGTCAAACTTGAAGTTGCTATGATTCTTGAATACACACCACACCTTCCAACCTTACCTTTAATATATATCCATTGAGAATCATTTGTCAATAAATAATGGTTATGTAGCACCCCAAGTCCCCCAACACAATACGGCTGTTTGATAACCTCTGTTTTCAGCTTATTAGTTTTATCGGTCATTTTTTACCAAATACGTATGATATAACTTTTGATTCGCGTGCTGAATTTTGTAATTTAATCAAAATAAGTAAAGTTCGAAGTTGGAATCATTCGAGTTACTTTTCTGCCGGAGTTTACAATAGCGAACCATTTTTGCAAATTTTCATATAATTTTTTCTTTATTTTAATAATAAAATATTATCTAAATGTATTTTTTCGTAATTCAGTAGATTCAGCTCATTCAATCACTTCGGCCAAAGTTTTTATGACTTTCATCAAATTCAGTCAATTCAATGTGTTTCACTAGTATCAAACTTGGACTCAAAGTTGCCACTACTGTATAGATAGAGAAACCCTTTTTGCCCGATTTTGTAGCTACATTCCTCTGTGACAAAAATCTATTGCAGTAAAATGTAGCCATAACTTTACTATTTACACGTTAGTGTTAGACCGTAACTACCCAGAAATTGAGAAGGTTGTCAAATGTATTGGGTTGCAGGCGGGAGCAATTGATAGTGTCATGGGGCTTCCTAAAGCACTAACACAAAGTCTGATGAAAGAGGTTCTGAAGAAACATTAACAGATAGTTTCCATAATGTTGTATTTAATTAATAGTGGCATGTTATTAATTAAATCTAGAATGCTTTCCTAATTTGATATTTTCACTAATTCCACTAGTGATGTGAATTGTGGAAATTCAATCTAAATAGAATTTAAATAGTTGACTTGGCACAGAGTTTTTTTCTTTTTGTTTTTTTGGTTGCATGAGATATGGGTGTTCTACTATCGTTACCAATATCGCTTAAAAATGAACTATTTTATAAAATTTTACAAAATAAACATTACAATATGGAGTTCATGCATCAAAACTTTGATTCTTAAATTGAACATCAAATTTTGATACAATGACAATAATTTAAAAAGTGCAGAGTATATCTACTTTTACAGATATGTTGCTAGATATGTCGTTACCGATATCGCTTGAAAATGAATTGTTTTACTAGTATAAAAATTTACAATATAAACATTACAATATGGACCATAAAAATTATACCATGACCATAAAAAATGTCATGATATTGTTTTTACAATATCATATTGTAAAAACAATTATACGGAGTAGTTCGTATAATTTTTCAAGTTTATTGTACATTATATATTTTTTTTAAACTGGAAGGCAAACCACCAAAATCAGTTGGGTAAATGCCGGATGTCATTTACCATAATTTTATTAAGTGCATTAGGAAACAAACATGAGAGGAGGACCAGACCAAAGTCTCTCAAGCAAAAAATATATAAAAGAGAGAAAAATTAATGGCAAAATCTAAGAGAAGGGACCCCAAATAAATCCATATGGAATGCATTTTTAGCTTGGGCCGGTAAGTCTGAAACTCTAGTGTAAATCATCGGTTGGGCCGAATATTGATCCGCCAAGTAGTGCGCTGTCCAATTAGCTTCATGCCAGAAATGAGAAAAGGAAATCCCTCTATCCACTGACCGGAGTAACATTTCCTTCATTTCAACTGTCCATCTTCCCTCACCTCCTTCTTGAATGTATAGAAGAGCTTCGAGAGAGTCCAATTCAACCTCAAAATCAGAGAAACCCTTAAACTCAAAATATTAGGAAACGGGTACGGCAAGGAAACGTCACACTAGAAATTAATTTTTTTAGTAATATAAGTAATGCATATGTCTAACAACCCAGAATTAATTAAACAAAACATACATCCTTGTTATAATCCATTCTACAAGCACAATAAATAAAATTTAAAAAGCATTACGTAAATGTTTCATTCAGTGATAAACACTCTCTCTAATTCCGGCTCATCTAAAGATAAATTAGCAAACTCCAAATAGCCCATTTCTTCCAAATTGCCGAACTCGTCTCCTCCAACATCCCACATCTTGGTCTTCTCATCTGCGTATTGCTCAGAACTCCTTGACAAGAGGCGAAGGTTGTTGTGCACAAACACCAAATCTTCAGCACGCTTAGGAGTTAACTTGTTCCGCCTAAGTGAATGGATAAAAGAGTAAGTACTCCAATTACGTTCACATGATGATGAAGATGTAGGCTGACCAAGAACTCTAAAAGCGAGCGTTTGTAGGATTGGTGTTTGAGCACCAAAGTTAGCCCACCAACTTTTAGGATCTGTGTTTCCCCTCTTTGAAAGAGATGTAATATCTGCAAAAGGCCCTGTCTTAAGTGAAAACGAAGCAAACTCCTCCAAAATCATATCGTAATCATCACCATTTGGAAAGAGCCTTCGGAAGCATTTCATCCTTTCTTGGGAGATCTCACCATCCCTATGAGGAGGGACCCTAGCGGGATCCGCAGCAAGCCAAACTTATATATATATATATCATGTTTAACTAATAATGATACCTTGGGTTCAATGAATGGGCTAAGCAGTGAAGCGGTGTAGAACTCTTTGCCCAACGTGCCACAAGAATATTGTATACTACTTGGTAGAAAGCACTATACTCATCGAGAGACTTTCCTTCATGCTTATAGATTTCCACTTTGACTTTTTCAATCATGGAATCCCACATCTCATATACCAAATGGAGGCACGCCCTATCAGTATCACATGCTCGAATCATACTATAGATGAGATCCGAAAAGGCAAGAATATAATCAATTTGCTCCCACCAATACTCACTTAAAATTTTCTCCCTCACAAACCTTGCTTTGCCTTGGTCATCCTCACGATATGATGCTCATTCATCACTCAACACCATAGCCTCCAGACCACGTCTAATAAGCTTAAACCTCTTAAGCATTACAATTATAGAAGCAAAACGTGTGTCCGCCACAGAAAGTAATTTAAGGGAGATGAATTTGTTGAACATGGATAACATCATAGTATGATTCATGATGAAATTTTTTATGTGAACAGCATCACCATGGATTTCAGTGATCCAATGACATTCATCATAAACTTCTGTGTTATTCTCCACATTCTTTGCAGCACATATGTTCTTTAAGGCAAGATTTAAAGTATGCACTACACAAGGTGTCCAATAGATGTGGGGATACATACCTTCAATGATTTCTCCTGCACCCTTGCAATTCGCAGCATTATCAGTGATTACCTGCACCACATTTTGATGACCTATCTCATCAATTACTTCTTTCATCAAATTAGCAATGAATTCTTTGGATTTAAATTCACCCATACAATTCACCGCTTTCAGAAACATGGGACCACTTCCAGAAGTTGCCATAAAGTTAATTATAGGTCTTCGTTGCGGATCACTCCAACCATCAGTTGCAACCGTCACTCCTCTTTCTGGCCAAGTAGCTTTGAGTGGTTGTAATAACCTCTCAACATTTGCTTTCTCTTGTTGAAGTAGAGAAGTTCTTAATTTATTATAACCCGGGGGGACATAACCTCCTAAATTATGATTGGCAGCAAAGGAAAAAGCTCTTACATAATATGGATTCCTAGCAAGATTAAATGGCAACCCTCCAGTAAAAAACATCCTAGCAATTTCTTCATCTAATCTCCCTCTAGCATCCATATCAAAAGCTTTCTCCAACGGACTACTACTAGCTTTTCTTTTATTAGGTAAACTAGTATTACTTATCCAATCCGTTTGTGATCCCGCTGAAGGTAAAGGAACATCTTTAGGTGCAGAATTTTTTTTATTTTTCTCAACTTCTTCTAACTTTTTTATCTCACGAATATCATTAGGTTGGACCTTATTGCATATAGCAATTCCTTGTTTTGAAATTTTAAGCAAGTGAGCTCTTACTCTAGAATAAGATCCTTGTTTTATGCTATTACAGAAATTACATTGGAATCTCCATGTCCCTCCTGTATCAGCACTTTTACCTAATTTGGTAACAAATTTCCACAAAGGTGTATTATCAACCCCAACAGAAGAATTCCCTGAAGCACTGACACCATCACTAACTTGTGAAGTATGTTCCATATTTGAGTATAAATAAAGGGTTGGTAGTGTGGTACTTACTAATTGAAATTGAAGAGAAGTACTGAAGTAGAGAACCAAATAGCAAATAGCAAACCTCCAAACCCTTTTCTTTTCTTCCCAGTTCGCCGCCTTCGCCCTTTTCTTTCGCACTTCCCAGAAATCGTACAGCAGAATCGCAGAACCTCGTTCGCACTTCCCAGTTCGCGGTTCAACATTGTCTCCCTCGTTCGCAGAATCGCAGTTCCCAGTTCCCAGTTCGCAGATTCTTCGTTCGCAGTCCGCAGAGTCTTCACTCTTCGACTCTTCGTTCGACGGCTTCGACGCAGGTAAGCCCGTTAATTAAAGCCTTTTTTTTAAGTTGCTGCGGAAACGCCTAGGCCCAAGCCCAGCGACGTTTCCGAAACGTTTCCCAACCCAGCCCAAGCCCAGCGACGTTGCAGAAACGTTTCCGGCCGTTTCCATGGCGTTTCCGGCCGTTTCCCGGCGTTTCGCGTTTCCGAAACGTTTCCGGGATGGAAACCTCCCCTTACCCGGTGTTTCCGTGCTTCCTAGCCTGTATGTACGAGGAATAATCCATTCCTCGTAAAGGAAGTTTTCAACCTTACCCACCTTGCTGGTAGAGATACTGGAAATCCAGTTCCGAGTGTAGTTTTTAATCTGAGCAAGTAAACCGTCACTAGTTACCTGAGTCCTTCTGAACTCCTGGCAAAATGTGCTTAAGAATATCAGCTAACTTTTAATATACAAAAAGCAAGAAGTTTTTAATATTAAGTTCGAACTACTCCGTATTAAATTAGGTGGCAATCCTATTGTAATAATTAAAATAAGATGACATGGATGAAGCACAATTTAAAAAAATGCATGAACAGTACACGCGTGTATAGTAGTTGTTTTTTCTTCTGTCCCACTAGCATGAATTGTAACTCGCGTGTAAAGATATGTAATTTACATTATTGATCAATGTAACTCAAGTCTATTGGAAATGTAATTGTTCAAATACATAGTATAAGAAATACAATATTGATTTCAATGTAAACAATGAATAAAGAGAGTCTAATTGCACAATTGCTTTAGGTAAACCGTGAATATGTTTTTGTTTTTAATATCATGAGCATAAAAAATGATTTTTTAAAAAGATCTCTTTTTTGTTTCAATAGCAGGGGTTGATTTTTTAGTGTAACTCACGTTATTACAAATGTAACTCGCATTGATGTCAAATACTCCTTAGGTGTATACAGAATGTCACTTGTTAGAAAATTGAACAATTTTTTGTGTGTGTGTTTGAGAATAATATATATACTATCTATACCATAAACATTGATTTCAATGTAAACAATGAAAAATTGATCCTAATAGCTTAATTACTTTTTTTTAAATAGTGAATACTAGTATGTTTTATTTTTAATATTAGGGCTATAAAAATGATATAGCAGGGGTTTATTCCGTGGTGTAACTCGCATACATTAAGATGTAACTCGCGTATATTAAGATGTAACTCGCGCAGAAGAAGATGTAACTTCATGATATATTATCAAATGTAACTTCAAGAATCAAAATAAACAAACACGATGTCTTAAAAACCTCTAAAAACTTATGAAAGTGATAAAAAAGTTATATTATAGAAAAAGTGTATGCATATAAAAAATATTACAAAAAGGTGTATGAATATAAAAAGTACTAGTATATTACAAAAAAGTATATGAATATAAAAAATATTACAGAAAAAAATAGTGTATGAATATGAAATGCAATATACTTATTTTATTTAGTTTAATAAACTTTTTGTTATGTATTGATAAAGAATAAAAAAATAGATTCAATTATAATTTAAGATGAAGATAAAGAAAAGTAGGATTCCCATTAAATTTTTAGTATTTTAATTTGATGGAAAAATAAAAGAATTGAACAAAAGAAAAATAAAGAAAGAAAAGCAAAAGAAAAAGGATGAGCGTTGCTCCAGGAAGAAAGAAAAGGGAAAACACTTGGCTAAAGTGGGATTGATACACCATGCAAAAGGTGGGTCGATTCCACTGTATAATTTGCCTGAATGAAGTATTAAATGTTCATTTGTCTTTAGCCGGTCATATGTCTGGTCTATCCTTTCACTACCAACGAATGTTGTATACATTTGCACATAATACATTACCGGGTTATTTACCAAATCAGTAAAACAGACTTTAGCAACATATTGGTAATAAAAGAAGCTCCGATGACATATTGGTAAAAAAACTTTGACGACAAATTGGTCAATTTTTTGTGAGTAAGATACTTTAGATCAACAACTTTAGAATCACTGACATTTAGTCCAAGTATTATGAAATTAACATTTTCGGTCCTTCTATTATGACCTGTCATGAAAAGTTGAAGATAAAAATGTCAACGAGAATATTTGACAATAAACGGTTGGATGCTAGCTGATAGTTAGTTCAATCACCAGATTGATAGTAGCGGATTTTGTTAGCTATTTTAACCAACCGCTTTCATTAGCAGTTTGAACTTTGAAGTAAAATGTTTAATAATTTAGTTGCTTGCGATTAGTTATTAAGACGTAAAATGATTACTAAGGATATAAATTTAAATTATACATATAATTTAACTATACTTCTTTAATTCTTTAATACATTATGGAAAAAGTTTTAAAAATTATCCTTACTTTTATTTATATAACTACTACCACTACAACTTTTATCATATATACATTCACACAATGGGTAAAGGTGTAAATATATCTTTAAAGTTTATATGTAAGTGCTCAGATATACCCCTCAAGTTCTAAACGATGCAAGGATACCTCTGATGTTTTTATAAAGAATCGAATTAGGTTTTGGAGATTTTACATAAATAAAAAAAATAAAAAACAGAAAAAAAATAAAATAAATTGGATTCAGAAAATGAAAATATTTAAAATAAAAACCTTAGTTATCTTAAAAAATAGAATAACCTATATAAACAATTTAAAAATTAATATCATTATTAAATTGAATTTAAAGAAAGGTTTATTTTATGTAAAATATTACCGCTTTATTTTAAATCGCAAAACTATTATTTTTCCTATGTAAATAGGCACTTCAAATATATAAATACTAATTTTAGTATTGTTGCATAATTTTGAACACATTTTTACATTTTTTGAAATAACAGTCTTTGGTGTTGTTTAAACTTAACAACCTAAAATGTAATACTGGATTATTTTTCATCACACAAAATGTGTTAAGTAAATTTTGTAGTTTATATTATTTTAAAAATTGATGATTTTTTTCATTGCAACACATATGTCAACACGTTCGTGAAAGATCATAAATATATAATAAAGTTTTGAAACAAGTTTTTATGCTAACAATATTAAATTGTGATATAAAAATAATAAGAGAGAGCATTGGACACAAAATAGATGTTTTTTAAAAAATTATTTTTTCAATTTCCAAAATCAATATATAATTTTTTGGTATTTTTAAAACGTATTTTGATTATTTAAATTCAATAAGGGCTAATTTGTTCCTATGTAGGAACGTTAGGGGTATCGATGCACGTTTTAGAATGTCAAGGGTATATAAGCACATACACATATAGTTTAATTTAAAGGTATATTTACACATTTCCATTTACGCAAACATGCATATATGCTCATTTATTTTTAGTATTAATATTTGAAATATGACTATTTTGTAGTTTTTAAAAATACTACTCCATATGAAATAGCAAAAATATTGTTTTCTAAAGAAAAAGAAACTTACATTAAAATATCAAAAGAATCTAGAGTTACGATGAGCCAATAGATCAAAATCCACCATTTATCTTCTAACAAACTCCATCTAAACTCAAGAAACTCCCTACGATCAGAGTTGGAGATGACCACCTCCAAAAAAGTAGCGCGAATTGCTGACCACCTCCAAAAAAGTAGCGCGAATTGCTGACCACCAAACGAACAAAATAGGGATTTGGTTGACCTTTAAGGTCACCATATTCTTTACCACTTCACTAGACTCGTAATAGTCAGAAGGGCCCCTTAGTCTTTAATCAAGCATAGAAAAGTTCACCCAAAATTGAGCAAAACTTTTCGTAGAACATACGAGAACTTCAAAGCAATTAACGGCTTTAGAGATCTCAATACTTTCGATCATATCTGAACTAGATAACTCAAGACTGCCACTAACACAAATAGTTCGAAAATAAGGTAAATATATACTCTATCGAAATAATAATAAAACTAAAGCAGACCCGACAAAAAGAGCAGCGGCGGTTTAGGAGGAAGCCGCATCATCAACACTTCATCTTCTTCCTCTAAGACAAAGAGACCGAAGGCAAAAAATGACGTAGTCAACGCCCGCCGGTGATACCACAAGTGTAGTGGCCACTGTTGCAGGCGTCGTCGCAGCTACAAGCCTCACTCTAAGCACAAGGAAGACTGCTGTGGAGAGCTACAATTTGTCACTGTTAAGTATTGATCCAAGGGCTTTCATCAACGACCAGGGGTGGATCATACAGAAACATTCAGTCCCGTTATCAATTCAGCCACCATCCGTCTCGTTCTTTCTCTCGTGGCCAGTCGTGGTTGGCCACTCAGACAGGTTGATGTTAACAATGCTTTTTTGCAGGGTAAACCTATGATGAAGTGTATATGCTCCAGCCACCTGGCTTTGTGGATTCCACCAAACCTACTCATCTATGTCGTCTCCACAAAGCTCTATATGGTCTCAAACAGGGGGGCTGGGCGTGGTATCAAGAAGTCAAGGCTTTTCTTCTCCAGATTGGCTTTATAAACTCAAAGGCTGATACATCTCTTTTTGTGCTTCACCGCAGTCATCATCTTACTTATATTTTAGTCTATGTTGATGATATTATTATTACAGGCAGCTCTCCCACTTATCTGGAAGCATTGATTGGTGACCTTGGTCAACGATTTTCTCTAAAGGATCTTGGCAACCTTTCCTTCTTTTTAGGAATTGAGGTACTGCCTCATCCGCATGGAATTCTCCTCTCTCAACAAAGATACATTCTGGATCTCCTATCCCGAACTAAGATGTCTGGTAGCAATGGTGTCACTACTCCCTTAGCTTCTTCTTTTAAGCTACGTCTTACATCCAGCAAACCACTTGCTAATCCTGAACAATACCGCTCTGTTGTTTGCAGCCTTCAATATTTAGCTCTCACTCGTCCGGACTTATCATATATTGTTAACAAATTATCTCAGTTCCTTCATTATTCTACTGATGAACATTGGGAAGCCACCAAGCGTGTTCTGCGATACCTTCATCTCACGGCAGGTCATGGCCTTCTTCTCCGACGGTCTCCATCCTTATCTTTGCATGCATATTCTGACGCCGATTGGGCCGGAAATCATGATGATTATACCTCTACTGGAGCATTTGTTATTTTACTTGGACCGAATGTTATCTCTTGGAGCTCTTGCA